CTATTATTTAAAGATGACTATTGATCGTTTTCAATCATTCCAATTAGATTCAAAAGAAAAAAAGACTGGTGGCCATTCTGGAAGAACGAACAATAGATACTAATGAGAATACCCTTTGTTGAAGTTCATCCAAGATGGCCGCGGTGACGTAAAACGAAGGATTCACAGTACCTGGAAGTCATCGTGAGGTTCAATTTGATAGCTCTGCGTTCCATCGTCAATCAACCCCCTGAATGTAACAGAAAGACAAAGTATAAAAACACAAAAATATCATTATTTACTAAGGGTGCTTTCCATTTAGGCAGAACTGACCGGCCAGTCCACTCTATTTAGAGGTATATAATGCTTTTTGTCAACATTTCTCAGTCATTTCGAGGTTGTCTGTAGAATAATGGATAGAATTTGAAAATTTGAATTTCCTAACTAAATGGGAATGATATATAATGACATTTTCTCTGGGTCTGGCCAGTCAGTTCTGACAAATGGAAAGCGCACTAAGTCGCTAAATTAAGAATGAAAGTTTCGAATAAGAATACGTGGTGAGTATCCTGGCAACCGTTTTTTGAAATAGGTATATGTAAAATGGGCTCTTTGAAATTGACTGAATTCCTAGAATTACTCACCTCAGTCCACTGCACGTATCTAAAACAACAACAGAATCAGGGATTCCACGAATAGAGCCTTGGTAATGACAGGGTTCCGGAGCTTTCTAAAAGTATAAAAAAATGAGAAGTTCAGATATACTCAACGTTGACAGAATTACAAGGCGTAAAACTATCTGGCTTACTCTGGATATCACTTCATTGTCATCAGAATCAAATGTTTTTACTGTAAACGCCTTTGGCATCAGATGGCTAAACATTGAAAAAGATAAAATTAGATAAAACGTATATAGCAGAAAGTCATACACGAATTTCACAAATGGCGGTAGTTCACGATCGCAAATATCGGGCGATTAGTGACGAATACTAATGGAAACGAGATCTCAGGACTTATATCTAAAAATCATTACGAAAATTGCATTTTAGCAGTTTCCAAAAGTTTGAAAGATGTATTGGAGGCTCGCCTCTGAGACTTTTTTACCCCAGTACCCTGGTCGGCGAACTTGGCATATCGCACCATTTTTGAAAGTTGTGAATAGCTCACCAATCATTATCATCATCATCGTAATCATCACATAATAATATAAAGGTTGATAGCTAGCGACACCAATCACTCTCTCCTGGAACCACCTTGAAGTGTAGTCTCCTCCCCAGACCATTTTTTTTCCTACTTTGGGCTTCCTTTGTTTCATCTTGGCCGCTAGGGACTAGTGACGAGAAAGGATTGATTTCTCCTTTCTCGTCACCATTCTCCCTCTTTTGACCAAAAAAAGACAGGAATCCCGTGATTCGTAGTGGAGGAGGCTACTTGAAGTGTACATTTATTATTACTTACTGGTTTTGCTTCGCATCCAAAACCCATTTCTTCTGAAATGCGTTTATAGCGAATGTTGCTGTATTTTCATGTCCATTCTGCAGAAAAATATTTCAAACAGTTTTTGAAATGCTAAAGAGATTGGCGATAACAGTAGACTCCAGTAGTTTTTAAAATTTGTGGCGTGCACTATATATACTATATATTGCTTTCATCTCCGTCTCCGTCGTAATCGTACTGAAGAAATGTCKCGATCATCCTAGGAAGCCAAGGGTCTTTGAGTTGGGACTTACGGCACACAACTTTCGACTCGCGTTAATCTCATTTAATTACGCGCCCGATTCCCTCAATAAGCCCTTGGGTTTCCGAGGATGTCTCTACCATTGTTTTCTACATGAGCCTTTACTTACTTCGGTGGCTGTGGAGAGGTCTCGTTTGACACGATTCTCGCTCAGTCTTTCAGGATAGGTCAATTCGTAGTCRAMATTCCCTGRRAAAGATTCAAATATGATAAAAGAATAATCATTGCAAGGTCAGCAGTAACGGATCAAGAACGCTAAAMAGAGAAGAAGTTAAAACTCAAGAACAATGGATATATGGCTGCGGAATCACCTCCAATAGATCCGCCCTTAGTTGTAAGNAACAGTGGTCGCTCGCCTCGATATTTGTACAATCATTATCAACAGTGTGCAATGTTTTATATTATTGATAGAGCTCAAGCTTGTACTACCAATAATGGCGAGTTTGTGTTTGTTTGTTTTAATTTCTARGCAAATGAGCAAACTTTTATATAGAAAATGTCGCTTTTCACCTTGCGGTCGACTTTAAGCGCTGTGCTGTTTAGGGTTTTAAGATGTTTTTAGTGTCGACGTAGTCTTTGTGTACAGCAATAGCCAAAGTGAAAGAGTCATAGTATTGAACATGCATTACAAACGAATTACATAGATTGTATCACAGTGTTAAAATTCATTTAAAAAACAGCATTCCTACTACATTTTCAACTAAGTTGTCTTTTATTCTGAAAGCTAATGTACACTTTTAAGTAAATTCAATTCCTCACGAATTTTCATTAATACCACAAGGGACTGAAGGGCCATTGTTATAATTCTTCTCTGAGGAGGTAGCGTTTAAGCGTAGACGAATAGTAATCTTTAACAGTGTTTACTATCATCGTTTTTCATCATTTTAATTTCAAAATATACATTTCATATGCGCTCAACATCTTCGGTGGTTTCACAGACTAAACGCATAAAAAATTCTTTTTTCGAAACATTGATTCGTAAACACAGCTGTGAACAGGCTACACTCCCAAAGCAATCTTTGCCGAAAAGCTGGCTATCTATATAAAATATAAAAACAAATATTTTTTATATCGTGATAAGAGCTTCTCTATTGAACTGATAGGACGTGTCTATCATGATCCATTAGCATATTAGTAACAAAGCAAATCAGTAGAACTTTTCTTCAGATGGGTTCCCTTTTGTCGATTAACGATTACATCCAGGGGGACCTCCTTGAAGTTTAAGAACGTTATCAATTAAGAACAACATGAGATTCAACCTACGTTTCTTGTCAGTACGTTTGAAAGATTTTCATTACCTATCATTTAGCTAATAGTCTAACGATTACGAGAATTGGGATTTTCATGCAGGATCCCATACCCCTCTTCGGGACTCTGTTCAGGAAAAGGCAAATTAACTGTATAAATCACCTTATATAAAAAAACGTATTACTGAAGTGATATGTTTGGCGACGAATACAAAGAGGGATTTCTTGCAAAGGTTTCGGGCGTGGGCAAAATCTGGATTATATAACCTCAATTTTTGTTAACTAAAAAAACCTACCTTGATAAGCACTCGACTGGACGACTTGCTATATCGACATCTATAGAAAGTCAATTTACAAGCTGCTTGGGACTTTTCATAGATATAGTGATATRATACTGATAGGTGTCTATCAAACGCTATTGCTATATTTGAAACAACGCAAATACATCATTCTTTCTAATGGTTTTCCTTTTGTCTATTGGTGATTATAGCCATGGAGACCAGTTGGATCTTAAAGAACGCTTATATTGAGAAGAACATGAAGTCTTCTTTTCATATTTTTGGGGGGATTTGGATTTGGACTTGATAGAATTCGATATTTTTGTACTTGACATTCAATTTAGAATATATTCCAGGTCAATCATGCTTTTTAACTCTTACCCTTTCTGCTTTTAAAATTGAGAGTCAATGTGAGACTTGAACAAATATAGAAAACTCCCAAGGTCAGACATCTTCAACTCTATTTTTGGGATATGACTAAAAGTGTTCATTTTTATCACTTCGGAAGTGACCTTAATTTATATTTTACCCAATGACAAAATGCATATCAAACAATTGCCCCCACAAAGTTATCCTTCGTTTAGCAGCCATATATGGTAATCTTACCTTATTTGGAAGTTCGATAGGAATGTTTTTTGTCGTTTTTTGTCGACTTTTAAAGCTTGAAATCGTCGGAAACTTGCAGATATTATAGCGAAAGCACTTCTAAACAATCCGCCATTTTGTTTGCTTCCATATATGGCATGGATTCGCTAAAGGAAGCCCAAAACTAAAAAGCACAGGGAACCCGCACGAATGATATACAATTCTTTGATATGGCTTCATACAAACAACGATACCAAAAACCATCATATAAGAAAGTATTTGTAAACTTTTATTACTAAGGAATCTACTTAGTAAAAAGATATAAATCTCAATGATAAACTCTACACTATGTAGGAAAATATACCGATCTTATCAAAAATGCAAATACTTTTCTAAGGTAGTGTCTTCCCCTGCAGACGACGAAGTGTCTTTTGAGTCGAAACGTTCGTTGCTTATGTCATCCTTCACACTAGAAACATTGTCCATTTTACTATTACTCTCAAATGACAATTTTTCATCTTCCTGAATGTTCTTTTCTAAGTCCAAACGATTCCCATTTCTCTTTTGTCCTCTACTACTTGATATCAAATGTTTGTTTGTTGAAAAATTATTATTACTATTATTGTACAAAGAAAAACGTTTTGAAGAGTTCCGAGTCCTGCTCTTTTGTTTGTTATATTCTGTTACTGAGTTATTTGCAATTCTTTGATTTTGTTTTTGAGTTCTTGATGTATTTTCGCTAAAACCTCTCTTTTCGCTATGATTTGTTCTAAGTTGAACCAAATTCGACTGTTCATTTATTCGTTTTGTTCCTCTGTCAGAGAAATACTGTGATATTCTGTTAGTTGGCACGATATTCGTTGAATTGTTCTCGTACAGGTTATGTTTTACTTCACTCTGTTGTCCCTTTTCTGCTCGAATTGCAACATTGTTGTCACTCTGGTAAATTTGCTGATCCTTGACTGTATTATCTTTTCTTGTGAAGTTTCGAATACTTTCTTCTAGTTCCAATGGCTCATGGAATTGATTAACGCCAGACACGTTTATATTTGAAGAATTCGTTGTTGATTTTTGTTGATTTAGAGAAAATRCTCTCTTCTTTTCAAGATTATTCATCAATTCTTCGTGATTCTGCCATGCACTACTATGACTTTCTATTTTTTTCTTAACAGTCTTTATACTATTTATGTTTTCTTTACCTTTTATGCTTTGACCAGTTCTATTRTCATCTTTAAAAAARWTTAAGCGTTTGTCTGTCTGTGGGTCTGTGTTCAATGCAGAGTCCCTATCAGTTTCATTAAGTTCCAGGGGATTCTCAACMATATCGGACGATCCATATTCACCACTACTACCACCACTACCACTTGGACCYTCTTCTAGAAGCTGATCAAGTTGCACAAGCTCATTCCTTAACTCTTTATTGATCTGTCCTGATGCCTCTTGAGTGGAAGGTGGATCTATTCTGGTAACATTATCGTCTGGCCTTCCCTCAATGTCATCAGTATCATCTTTAGAACYGCCACCACTTTCTCCCYTCACCCAAGTTTCTTTGCTCAAGGTCATCAGATTAAGATGATCGTCGATAGGACGCTTATTGTAATGAGTCGATGGTGTTAATGTATAATTTGATTTTGTTTTTCCTTCCTCGGCACTCTGGTTTTCTTCCCTTACATTCTGTTTTTTCCCCTGGACGCTCTGGTTTTCCTGGACATTATGGTTTACCTCTTTGCCACTTTGGTTTACTTCCTGGCCACTTTGCATAACTTCTTGGGCACTTTGGTTTACTACTTGTTCATTTTGGTTTACTTCCT